GTTACAAAATAAGTGCATACATAGGTATCCACACCACACAAATCATCAATGTATTTGATTCTATTGAAGCAATTTTTTATACCACGATGGTGACAAAAATGCACAATGAACACATGGCACACCTGATGTTTTTCTTACCGTTGTCTATGAACGCTTGAAACCCTTGGGGCATTACCTACGTGCGCCTTGCTGACCCTTAGAAAACCTATTTACTCCCTTATTGAAGAACCCTATATTGTAGCCTACTGACTGTGTTGGATTTTCTCCTGTGTCGTGGGTGCGTTTACAAACATACAAGTTCACATACACAATGACACCCAAACCCGAAACAACAATTCGTGGATCACACAAAGTGTTGTCCCGTGCGGGAATCGAACCCGCGACACGTTGCACGGCAGCCGGTTGCCCAGCCACCGCACCAACCGTGCAGTAATTTGCTCATTAATATTATATTACTAGCTGACCCAGCAACCTTCCTACGTAGAATAGTTTTATTCCCACCTTTTAGCCAAATCGGTTTAGCCGTTCTCGAGTTTTAGCGAGACTAACGAACGGAAAATTATTTTTATTTTCATAGACAGATTGAGGTCTTGATCACTAACAACATAACAAATCTCTTAATAAAATAGGTTAAAATACCATTCCATTTATCAATTCACACACCATTGCAAATATAGGTACTTCATTTTCAGTCAACTGGTTGCCAATCTCCGCTGTTTTCCATCACAATGAATCCCTCGCTTGCTTTACAAAAAGAAGCTAACAATAGCTAACGTTGGAAAATGAGCTGTTCTGCATATAGGTAACAAAAAGTAACTAACTACATTAATTAATAATTACTAACCAAATGAATTACTACTTGAAAGTCGTATATTGGTCAATTGATTCAATAGTTTTGTATTGAACGCCTGATTAAAAATTAATAGCAAAATTCGCTTTTATGTGATTTCTATTTACTTATTTTTATTCTTAACCGTCTTTCCCTTTTATACTCTTAAGTCTCTAGTAAAGCAAAGACGTTTCTAAAATCTATTAAAATTAAGATACTTACAAACGACGTCCAGTCTAGTACTAACAATAATCCATTAAGTACCATCGTAAAGTACCAACAACACGTAACGGAAAGTTCCTTTAAAAATCCTTATAGAGATCGCAAGAAAAGGTACTTACTGAATCAGCTTTTTGATAACATTAAACCTTGTACTTTGACTTCAAAAGATCTTTGTAGGATCATATCCGACTCGCATGCTCGTACTACGGACTGCCGAGCGCTTTCCCTAATGGAACTTTGTGTTGTATCAAACTTTGATCCACAAAAGGTCAGCGGACAAAGACACAAAAATACACCACGAGCTTTTCAGTTTTTTATTTGTAAATAGACTCTAAAGTAGAAACTTTTTGGTCAGATCTGGCCGACTTTTTCGTTTTCACCAGCATCCGATGCACATTTTGTCGTCAGTGTTATTTTTTTCTTACTTTTTTCACGGAATATTGCGCCGCTGTACAGTGCAGTGGAGCGCCGCTCTTAGCTAAGAACCTTTTCATTAAGTATTACTCAGAACTGTTTTATACAGACTTTTACAGGTTTAACACCAGAATGCACTCGGAATTGGAATCTATTTAGTGTTTGGACAGCTGTAAAGTTAATGTTTAAATCTGTATAATGAAGTACCTCCTGAACTTAATGTTCTCTTTTGTATTTAGGAAAATCAAAATCAAATTTTTGATACATAATATACTCGTTCAGTTTATAGTAGGTAGGTATATAAAAAAAGAAAAGTTCAACTCTCAATTCATTTATTTTCATTTTAGATGATAATCTCTAAAAGACTATGTCTTTTACATTCACTGCATTGTTATTGAATACAAATACATAGTAGTAACATATTCATAAATCATTTACAGTTATTCTCAACAGATTGAAATAGTTTCCATAGATTTTATATCCCGGTACAGTGCAAGTCAAAAAAGAATGCATGTGTAGTTGCCTATCTAAAATGATAAAGTTACTAAAATCGGCTTTTAACTATAGATTAATTCACAATGGGTGAAAAAAGAAACTAACGTTTGAATCAAACAAATAATACCTTTACATAAAGCACGCAATACATATATCTCTTCGGCTTGTAATGTTCCGGAGTATATAACAAATGGATATTTAATTTGAGACCGGCTCATATTGTAACATTTCGGGAGACCATTTACCTGCATGCGTGTGGAAAAAAGTAGTTTGTAGTTTGTGGCTGTGTGACAATGACTCCCCAAATGACTATTTTCCACGCGTTTCTGTTACGACTATGGGAAATGGTCACGTGAAATAATACACAAACATGTAATCCCACATTTTTTTCTGCTTATTTTTAAAGATATTTCTTATTTTATGGTGTTTCTACAAAAATCATAGAGGTAATGATATGTAGATATATTTATCAATATTTCTATTTCGGTATACCTGTCATAGATTAGACATTGGAGATAATAAGTCACTACATACAAATATTTTCTAGAAATGGTAAGTATATTTTACAATATAAATAAATAATAATAATCATCTTTCTTACAACCGAAACCTCGCAACAATTTATTATACAATATACATAACAAATATATTAATGTAATACCTACTACTATATTTATAGTGCATTGTTAAAATATCATTTATAAGCGTTAAAACAATAGTTTGCTAAAACGATCAATGTATTAAATTTTTTATTTCTAAACAATTTTCAATAATAACACAGTGGTCAGTTTAGATAAAAAGTATTTACACGTTTCCTCATTTAATAATAATATATGTATTTAATATAAGCGAGCTATAAAGGTTTTATTAATTTTACGGCCAATACGAGAATACCTACAATTGCAGAACCATTGTATTTTAGCCTTGCAATGCTAACGTCATTGCAAATTGACGATCACAAACGTCATCATCACAGCTGTCACTTGTCACAGGTCACCCAACTTTCAACTTTAACACATCGACATAAGAAATGAAACACGTCAGCTGTTGAACAACATACAAACATGGCGTCAATCTTACGCCATACGTGTTGCGTGGGATTTTTGACAAGTCTTTGCTTAAGTTAGCAATCCATTCGTTAGTGCATCTGTGAAGTTTTCAATGGCTGCGACTGACAGAGTAAATATTGTGAAACTTTTGAGTTTCCTTGCAAGTTTATTATTAAGTATAAACATTGTTATTCAATTGTTCTTTTTTATATTAATACTATTATTTTACTATGCTTTCATCATTAAACAAAAAATAGACGAAAACCGATTTACAAAAGAGAAAATGTTTGTAAATACAGACGGCGAAAAAATGCCCGCGTGACCAAAAATACCAAATGAAAGGGTAAGTCTACTTGCAATGGACTTTCCCTAATGGAGACAGGTGTGAACAGGCAATATGAATGGATACATAGTTATGGAACTTTCATCTATCCCTTCCACTATAAAAAGCTTAAAATGTTTACAAGGAATGACTAAATAATTATCAATACACAATAATAATAAAACAATAATGACACTACAAAAATAATAACAGTGTAATAATTCGACACAATGAAACGAATTTTAATATTAACATTGTACAGTCAATGACAAAAGTGTAGAAACAAAATGGCTCTTCTATTTGTTTATTATCTATAGTTACTCATTAGATACCTATTCAGTCACTTAGTAGGTCTAATTTAATATAATTCACGAGACGAAACGATGGCCTGAGGCCTTTATAAAAAATATTTTACGTTACGAATACGCGTTCGGCACTGATTGGTTCGTACATTGGAGCTAGCCAATCAGCGCGACGAACGCGGTATATATTATGAGTCCCATGTAATAGGGGGTGTCCCTATTGCCATATATCGAGCACAATTCCAGACTTCGTGCTACTACTGAGAGTTTTTTAAAAACCCAGTAATACTTTGCCTGACCCGGGAATCGAACCCGAGACCTGTCGCCCGGCAGTCGCACTTGCGACCACTCAACCAACGAGGCAGTCAGTCTTGTTTTTAACTTTCTACCAAGTAGTAACGTATATGTACATGATTACTATAAATGATGCAACTAACTATGAAATAATGAATCCACCATGTCAAAATCTGGCCATCGTTCGTGACGGAAATTAATAGATACGTCATACTAAAGGTCGGTAGCCACTTTTGTCCTGACTGTACTTTTAAATTGAGTTAATTTTAATTTCAGCTATGTGTTGACACAATGCACTTTAATGCAACTACTTACAACTCTATCACAGGATGTTCTGAGCTTAATATAAAGATGACATCCTTATAAAATATTTTACCTAACCTATATTTATACATACGTAAGTATTTCCTAAAGTATACACAGTAAAATACAATAATCATTATTATATAATATTCAATATAACAAATTAACATTTAATAATTTCATTAAGTTATTGAATTATCGATTCAATTGTGATAATTTCAAAAGAGAATGCCTTAATTTTTGATTGAGCAATTTTTTTGAAATTCCTTTTTATTTAAGCAACATAATTTATATTTCTATACAATAAAAATAATGGTACTTTTATCTACATTAGACGCTACCCGACTACGGAACCTTATAGTCTAAAAACGCAAGTTGATAATTCGTAAAATAAGTACATATAAGTAATCTTACTTACAGGGAAACATAGTCGGGGGAACAATGTAAATGTAACATTAGATATACGCATTTCATTGACTACAATTATTTGGCAACAACGCAGGAATTATTTACACAAAAACACTCAGTGCTCATAATTTACTACACAAACAATTTACAAATGGACGACGAAAAAGGCGTAACACAATGAGATTATAGTCTATGCCTACAATAAATAGTATCTATCAGGTTTTTAACCGAGGAACTGCAACATTCACCCGCATTCATTTCTTACACTTCATTACACATTGCATCAGTCTGTCCGTTACTGGCAATTGCACACCGCACAGCGTACTAAATTCAAATTCTGCATTGTTCCACATTTGAAAAACTTACGTTGGAACTAAATTGCCAGATGCATAAAATGCTAAGTGCGTTAGGCTTGCAACACTGAGTAATAGAACACTATGGGAGATGTGTGATCCCTTGTCCGGTAGTCCACACTCTTGCCTGTTGTATTCGAAGCAGAAATTCTGTAAAACAAATGTTTCATGTTGAAATATTCCCACAAAATAATCTATTATTGTGTTAACAGAAAATTTTTTTAATTTTGACAAGTTTATATTATTGAACACTTGTACAACCGTCGACTGATAGACGAAAATGTAGGAAAACTAAAACCCAGACTAGGAAACAGAATTTACAACACCATCCACAGTTTCGGAGTCACGAACGAAATCGGAAGAGTTTCCCGTCACGACAGCGACACTGTCTTCTGTTTGCCTCTACAAAACTTGTAATTTTGTAAAAAGAAATAATAAAGTTCGTGAAATTCCTAAAGCTAGTTCTTTTCGAACCGTAAGAGTACCGCAGTTCATACACGTTGTATGAAACATCCTGACGAAGATATATAAAAGTTTCCTCGACTCCTTAACAAGGAATTTATTTTTCGCTAAAAGATTTCTAGCCGTGAAAACTTACTTAGAAAGGTCTGAGATGTAATTAGCGTAGTTAGTGTCTAACACAAGCAATCTTTACCAAGGCTAAGAGGCTTGAGTCTTCAGCCTTTTTCTTTTACGTACTTTTCCAAACTTGACTAAAATTTTCATCCCGCACAAAAAATCCAATTATTATTTGATTATATTACCTTAATAATGTTAGACGCCATTCGCTTGAGAAAAGCGCTAGTGAACAATGCTGCTTCGTCGCCACAGGACCTCTGCACCGTCTGTTCTGAGCACATCAGGTACTCTTGGAATGAACTGAAATGATCACAACTTTATTAAACTTTCCAATGAAATAAAATAATCTTCAGCACGCAAGACAGAAGGTTCGTTATCGAGAAACACTTAATTTTAATATTAATCAATTTGCATAAAAGAAGCCTAATGAATTTTCAGACAAGAAGCCGCTACGATAATTAAACTGTTTCGTTAAAAATACGATAAAAGTCGTACGTAATTAGATTTGATTATACCATTTAGGTAAGATCCTAGCGATAGAAAAAGGCAATACCTAAGCGTATTACCCTGAGCCCAATTTGCAAATAAATAGATTTCCTTAAGGTCAAGTAACATGAAATTAATGCTAACATATGCTACATGATATACATAGTAAATTCTGAAAAACACGCAATTTTGCGGAGCTCATAAAAGGAGTAGGAAGGTCACTTGGAATTAAAACATACGATTAATATGTTGACCTTATCTATCTTAATTAAGAATGAACTAATTTGTTAATTTCAAACGTATTTAAGAACACGTGATCGAAGGGAATGGCCGCCATGACCCAAGACAGACCGAATGAGAAATAGTAGGGCAAATTAACAAATTGATACATCAACCCGAGTCCAGCCGTTCTGTAGATGGTTACAGCCAAATGTAACAATCACGATAGGTCAAAGGCTCGCATCGGAATGAAGACTTGAGGTCAAAACAATTAACGACCGCAGTATTAAAGGGAAGATTTATTAATGCAGTATTTCGCGAGATATCCTACATCAGGAACTGCTTTTACTTGGCAAAAATTACAATACATAGGTTTCCAAGGACGACTTCTAAGCAGGAGATCTCGCATACTCGGATTGTCCAAAGCATAATTGACATTTTCTCTTAAATAGAATCGGGTTTAGGGTACGACAGCAGGCCGTAATACCATGTACCTTGATGCTAATAGGAACATAACTGATAACAAGATAAACTACATTTAGAACCCCCCCCCCTCCTCTTTTTTGAAGACCGTAAAATAATATACTAAACCTTCTCCTAAAGTAACAAACCCTTTTCTGAAAACCGCATTCAAATCGGATCATACAAGCATACAGGTTAAACTCAGAACCTTCGTTTATGAAGTCTTTTTTTAATCCTAGTTTATCTATTCAGAGATAAACGCCTGTATTTAAACACGCAATTATATATGCCGGGCAGAATTCCAGACTCCGTGCTACTACTAAAATTTTTTTTTAAAAACCCGTATATTTTGCCCGACGCGGGAATCGAACCTGAGACCCCTTGCCCGGCAGTCGCACTTGCGACCAATCGGCCAATGAGGCAGGTATTAAAAACATTTCATACACTAACTACTAGAACCTATGTTTATAGTTTGTTTTAAACTTGCCCACGAATCCATCATTTAAACTAGACTTCATATCAATCTTGGATACCGATGGCGATTCCCTTTAGATTAAACATCATTTTCTGCTGTGGCATCCATCTCGTTATAAAAACCGAGATAGACGTGCACATCATTACCATTCATTATACATATAGTCCGTAGTTATTGCAGATACATAATTGTCGATGTCAATCGTCGCTATTGGACCCAATTGACTTCTTCAATTATGAGGCACTTAAACCGCTTTGATGGTCCATTATGATTTCATGTTTATTTTTTATTTATTTTTTTGTATTCATTACTACAGACAAGTTTAGTATTCTAAATATTGTGTGACATTATCATTTTTGTCCGTGTGCAAACATTCACATGGGCATGTAATAGTATTTGTTGTGCCATATGTCTTGGTGTCTACAAATCGTCCATCGTGGCAGTAAATATAACACAGAACTAGCAACCATTGCAATTAGCTTTCCCAGAATTCAACATGAGCATAAAGAAAGTGAAGGCGTCAAGTAGACAAATGATCCATGCCAAGTGTCATTTCATATCACACTTGTGCCCTTTGAAACTTAAGTATATCAAAATTAAAAATCAATTTAGCGTAAATACCTACGTATGTAGTTGATCAAAAAGACTTCATTTAGGCAAATGTTGTGCAAGCAAAAAACAATACATGAGCAATACAAACTCGATATTCCATTCTGCATTCTCAATTCGAAATTTAAAGTTGAAATTCGAACGTACAAATAACTTCGCACGACTGTCGAAACGCGTTAAATCCTCTTTTAGAATATCTTTCATTGTGTTCCGCTAAAATAATGTAAACATTAGCTTTGAAATAAAATGCATGGTTTAATTCAGCCAGAGTCACAGTCGGCACAGTTCGCTCAGTTGCTTTTTTCAGTGTGGAAATAGCTGTGTTTTTGTTCATATTTCCATTGTGTCAGTGCATGGCCAGCGATGTATAAATCCTCTGATAGTGTACGAATATTTTAACTAGAAAAAACTGACCAAACTCACAACATTCCAATGCAAATTGTTATTATGTACACGAAAATATTACTATAGCGAACTTAACACAAGTCGTTAGCATAAAAATTAAGACAGTAAACGAAGGAAAAAATACAGCCTTACTTTTCCCAAATCAACAAATGTCCGACAAATTGTAGATTCAATTGTATGGAATGGCGGGGATAACGGAATCATTAACACACCGAAAAACTCTTAAGTACACCACTTAATCCGAACTGAATCTTAATCAGGGTTTAATGGTGAGAAGAGGGGCGCAAAATGTCTTCCGAACATCCTCCTAACATCAGCTTATCCAGGAAATACTTCGAATTTACGTAAACCCGATAAAATTAATGAACGCAAGCTCATTAAGATGACTCGTATGAGAAAATAAAGAATTTCGGTTACTCCCACAAATACTGGCGTTGATCGTAAACATGAAGCGTACTTAATTTAATGGAATATTTGAGTTTTATTCACAGCGATCTTACAAAAAGACTCGCACAAAATCTAAACCAGAAAAATTATATTACAAAGTCGACAGGGCCCGAACCATGGGCGAGCGTTGTTAATTTACATGTAAATTGGTACAGATAAGTATTATTATCAGTGGAAATCACGCTTCAGACAAGTAATTAGTTCGTGAGGCTGGGGGTTCTGTTCGATTTGTTGAATATTTTACTAACGCGGACTATTCAATATTCAGGGCTCCTCCCGACTCTTTGAAGTACCGACTCTCCAGGACTTCTCTTGATAACTTCCATGACAGTTTAATTTGCGGAACTTCAAATTGAGTGACGTTGTTCGACTGAACAGTGAAAATAGTCTAGCAGACTAATCGAACAATTCATGCCTGGTTCCTTATTATAAAAATAAAGATGTATTTATGTATGAAACTGTGTTGATTCTCAATACATATTGGCCTTGTCGGTTGCCAAAAAACAAAATACCTAATCGTCGAAGCGACGGGCGTGCGGCATACACTCGCTATAAACGAGTTTGTCCTACGCGTTCCGTATCAAAGTGGATGGATCTACACGAGATTTTTTAATACATATTAATGTTTTTTCCGTCAGAATATCTTTTTGTTTCCACAAATAACGCATCATAATCTGAGCACGTGCGACTTCCTGTTTATGTTAGTAATTTGATAACAAAAACATTGCAATTTAATTAGAACAATAATAGGCAGATAAGTAACAAAAATCGGTAACGATTGCAATCTGAGTATCAAAATAACTGATAACATCAGAAATCATACGATGACGTCACGACTTTATCTCCTCGGGTATTTATCTGAACTTGTGATGCATTACTGGAATAATTATGCCAACAAGATTTAATCTTCCGTAAGTCCAAGAAGTGTGAAGAAAGTTTTTGAGCAAAACAATTTGCAGACTGTTGTCTTTGGTAAGTTTGGCGGATGGCGCACTTGGAGCATTTAGAGAGAACTCTGCATTTATCAGTATGGATTTTACAGTAAGTGCTCCGACTAAAATAAAAGCAGCAGTGGTAGGAACTTCAGACGATGCCTTGGGAACATTAGAATTGGCTGGTTCTACTATAGAAAATAATGTTCTATGACTGCAAATAACAAAAGACTGTTTGATTATTATAATGAATTCTGAATTTGAATCAACCTTTATTAAACTAGAGGTTTACCCGCTTAACAAACGAGATTTATTGAAAGTAATAACAAAATGCAAAGTCAAAAGTGAATAAAAGTATTTGTTTTGTTCGCTTTTGTAAATTCTGGGTACTGATGCAATATGAGCAGCGAGCACCCGAAATCAGTTTATTTCGTTTTGCATATTCCAGCACTCATTCATTGAACGAGGTTCGCTTTTATAAGTTCGCAGAATTCAACCAGAACGACAAAAGTAAATGAAAATAATAATTAGGTACCTATTGTATGATATTTCTCGCACTAATCTAAAAGTAGGTATAAAAAAATCTGAAAATTATTTCTGTTGAATTCTGATATTCTGTAGCAAAATCAATATCAACATCACCCCTTTTAATACACATATTCATATTCATATTCTGTATCACTCTTTATTTATGACTATCTGGAAAACTTATGTTACTGAATCTTATACTTATTACATAAAGTCAACCTATTTCCATACATCAAGGTCCGTGCTGTTACAGAAAATATTGAACATCGGAAATTCCAACACTGATATAAATCTTTGTCTCCACAATCGCTGCCGCTGTTACGACTACCGTAAAATGGGGTGGATAGGGATCGAGAGGTGAATAGAGACAGAAGAGGGGTGAATAGATATTGGGAGAATTTTCATAGTATCAATTCACCCCTCTTCTGTCCCTATTCACATCTCGATCCCTATTCACCCCATTTTACCGTACTGGACAAACGGAGTAGTTTGAAAAAACCAAAAAAAAAGTAAACAAAATTTTTAAATTCGAAATTCGGACCATCATCCACGTAACAAAGTATCAACAAAGATAACATTGGGCAGTTTTGGGAACGACATCACACTACGAACGCCAATTCCACTGCCAAACGTTTCTAGTAATTACGTGAATGGGATTTTTATGGCGGATAGTTCGCTATAAAAAGGTCCATCTTCAAAATAACGTACGTACATTTATATTTCGTATTTTAAGGCCGAAGGTGTAAGATAGGGGAGAAATTCCAGTAGCACCTTTTCGAGAAAAATGTAGCCAATATCCTGCCTTTTGCGAATCAAGATAGAAATCAAATCTTTTATCGATCTACTCAGTATTTTTTTTAAATAGTTTATTCAAATTTTACTCACCAACAAACTGTCCTGAGATGATCTTCATGGCTGGTCACTGCTTGATCTGTCTGATATTGGTCTCCTTGCTGATGACTACCCAACGTCATCAGCGTTACTTCATAGTTCTTGCTGCAAGTTTCATAATCTGATCGGACGGTCTTCACACAATCAGCATGTTTTAAGTACTCATCTTGATATGGTCCCCTAGTGCACAATTCTTGTACCACGTCCGTAATACCAGCGTATATACGACGGAATACGACTTGCTCATGTTTCTCCATGCAGACGTTTGTGTAGTTATCTATGCATTTTATTCCCATTCGAAGTTCACTGCAACAAAAATGATTTATTTAAATTGGACCGAGAACACTGCCCTGTGGAAACCTCTTAAATTTGCCTCTTGGGAGTATTCTAAGTTACTAAAAGGTATCGTAATTTTATGAAATGTTTAACAGACGGAACATTTTAGTACATTTCTGCGGAAGTCACGGTAAGAGCTAGGCTATCGAAGTGAACTCAATCGCGGTCCGCAATGTCATTGGTTGTGAGAATAATCTCGACCAATGACGGGCGAGAATAAGACCGAGCTTACTTCGAAAGTTCGAATTGACAGTTACAGAAAAGCCTAGCTGTTCCGAGATAAAAAAAACTTAAAACTAACTCAGAGAATTGATTGCGAAGCCGCGTAACAAACAACCTCATTGCGGAATTCTTATATGTTCTTCCGCATAAATCAGGGTTACTAGAACCACTAGCCATCATCACCATCAAACGTGATTTTTGGAATATATAAATAATAATTATTACTTTCTCAAATGTTATTTATAAACTTGCAGAAGAGTATTCGTATATTCTACGTTGATTATAAAAGGTCATGCACATTTACAATGAATAAAAAAATGATATTTGCTTTGTCGAAACTCGGTAAGCAACGTATCATTTCCAATCAGAGATTGTTCCTGGTCGTATTAGCTGTGTTATGTAGGTTAATCCCTTAAAAAGAGGAAAGGGCATGACTACACACATTTATCATCCACGGGCGGCCATTATAATCCACCTGTGGGACTAGTGGGAATTACTCCAGCAAACGCCGCCTTATGTATTATGGATAATACCTTTTTTTCTGTTTCCAAATCCCATATACCAGGAATCTCTACCAATCTTGTAGCGTTAACAAACAAATGTGTATAGTTAAAATGTCTAGACTCAGTATATCTACCTTTCTAGGTCTAATATTTGCTCTGTGAAGTGATTGAATCGACTTTCCGATAAAAATATTACGGTGTTGTAACCAAAAAAATTTTTATTTCATCTGTCTGTTATTCATGATTTTTTAGATTACCGGTACATAACGGATAGTTCTTACAGTTAAATGAAAAGGTGTTAATAGAAATCTGACTAGCGATTCAACCGTTTGAATGCCGGTTAGAGACAATAGAAAACACATTGTGTCTCGCGTACATCTGCGTTCTGGCATACCACGGGTTAAATACTATTGCAACATGAGCTTATTATACCATATTATACCTATATAATTACACAACATTAATTCTCATTCTTACAGATATTTTTTAAGAAAATCCCATCATCACTACATAGTATAAAAACAAAGTCGCTATCCGCCGTCTGTCTGTCCTTATGTATGCTTAGATCTTTAAAACTACGCAACGACTTTTGATGAGGCTTTTTTAATAGATAGAGTGATTCTTACGGAAGGTTTATATGTATATTACATGCATATTGCACCCGTGCGAAGCCGGGGCGGGTCGCTAATCTATACATATAATAAAATCGTAGGAAAGTGAAAACTGTACATCTTATATTTTTTTAAAAAATGCTTTGGGTGTGATCTGCAGTCGATACCGAAAGCAAAAATAATTATGTTTTTTAGAATTTTTGTCTGTTTGTCTATATGTATGTTCGGGATGTACTCAAAAAGTGCTGCATGGATTTACGTCAAATTTTGCATGCATATTACTAACAGGTCGGGTCAACATTTAGGTTACATATTATCATGCTATCAACAAGAGAGGAGCTGTGAATCATTATTCCACGGGGACGAAGTCGCGGGCTCAGCTAGTCATTAAAGTATTATTGAATTTGACATTCGAGCTCTCGTGTATGGCTGCAACTGACAAAACAAATGAACACAAAGACAGATGCATTACTATTTTATTATCTGTATGATGTGTACCGTAAGACAAGACCACCTGTAATCACGTGTATGCTAAAACATGTTGGTATCATCAATCCGTCTTCCGAGTCATATGACAGTATTCTTATGAGGAAGAAACTGTTCATAAATTCATTACAGCAATGAAATACATTTTTTTTAAATTGATATATTCAATGAGCCGATGTTTGACTCCTCGGAGTCGCGGAGAAGGAACGGGGTGGTTTTTAGTCAGTAAGAGTCTGACACTCCCTTCCGCCTCACCCAGGCGGGAGTAGTCATTCGATGATTTTCCCCCTTAAAAAAATAAAAAAAATACCGCCTGGTGGTAAGCGATGATGCGGTCTACGGTCTACATTGTCAGTTTTTTTTAAGAATAAGAGTTTGCATCAGACACGTCGTTTGAAATAAGTGGTCCTACGTTTGTACACTTAAATGTAGGTAGAGCGCAAATAGGTATTTATTTTCGTTAAAACAAACACCGGGCTTATCAATAGGAGGAGGACCAGATATGACTAATATTGAATTTTCACACATGTGAGATTAAGCTGTGATAAAAAAATATAATTATAAAATCATGTCATATGTTTATCAAATAACAATTTCGGTGAGTCACATGAATTTAAGGAAATTCCATAAATAATAGCACCGCATATACAACAATAATATTTATAAATGGTCAAAAGCCTCAACCAACACTTGAGTAGGCTAACGTAAGATGGTTGGGTCAAGGGCCTGATGCAGTAAGCAGTACTTCTGGTCACGGTGCAAATTTTCCGGAAATTCCTCTCTCTGAAGCCCTGACCGCCGCACCGGTAGCTTGGATTTCTCCTATTACTGGCGGGATACGGCTTTTTATATTTTTAAATGTTTTTTAGAAATAATCAACTAAGTACTTAAAAACAAAAAAAAACAAAAAAAAACAATCATCCGAACATAGTACCTCCTCCTTTTTTTGAAGTCGGTAAAAATATATAAACTATGTACGGAAATAAATAATTAATATTCATAATTATTTTACGAATTATAATTCTAGCATGTATGCTACTTATGATGTATCGTAAGTCAATTAGTTTATTTGTTCACTACAGTTTCACACTTTAAATACTAGACGATATAGCAAAAAGGAATTTTGGTACAGAGATGGCTGAAACGCTAAAAATATGGATTTAAGATTGGTTACTTTTTGAGCAAGTGAAGCTGGAAGCAAAGCTAATACTTATCTCAAAATTGATTGCTATAATGTAACACCCACTTTTCACTATTTATGTTACGAGTTCCATGTAATAGGGGGTGAGCCTAATGCCATATTGCACCTCTGCCTACCCCTTCGGGGATAAAAGGCGTGTTATTATGTTTTGTTATGTCGTCATTGCTACGAACACATTACAATAAACAACGTATCGTAGGCCCAAGAATACATCTGGGCCATCGCCAAAACCAAAAACATCGCCACGCTGACATGAAGTACCTGCCGTATTAGGCACGTTAATATCGCGTAATTTTCAATGTTTGCCGACCCGACCGCAATAAAGTGCTTCATTGGCTATTCAGCTCTGAAGCGCTGAGTGAAGTCGGACAACTAGTTTCAAATTGCTATTTACCACAAACAAGAGTACTAAATTAAGATGAGCTACTGCACGCCGACCGCGCCATTCCGCCACTAGAAGTTAGTCTCTGACGCAGCTAACTCTTTAGCAGAACTTAACTAAAAGTTGTCGGTTGAGCGTAAATGAGTGAGATCGTTTGGCTATGATATCGCTCAAGTGAGAAAGATGAGCGGCCATTCTTCCGGCAGTTTGATAATTGGAAACTGAAGGATTGCGGTTATTTGAGATTTTTTCCATCAACTTTGACTATCAGTGACTTTAGGTGTCAGGTTCTTTTTTATTTTGTTATGGTTTCTAGTGTTTTGAACTGATTTTTTATTTATGTCATATCCTTCTTGTGTATTCTGTCCCTTATTAACAAGCTAATCATTACCAAGACATTTTAGGTTTCTTACAGTAAAACGTGATGATTAAACAATAGAACCAATCAGGTCAAGGATAACTGTTGTATTTTTCCGTATACAACGCACTGATTTGTCTATTAAAATAACAATATTATCTCGATCAGCATAATTGGGACCTTGCTACGAATTACATTGTCGATTGTAACACTTCCGCAATCTCATGTTAACATAATTTATGCTAATTTTAAAGTAACATCATCAATTAAATATGACACACGAATGCATTGAATATTATCAATGCATTAATAATATAGAATGCTGAATTAAATTACTTACACGCAGCTTTTGTCCAGTTCCTCTCGTGTGAGTGCGAAAGATATTTCTGGTGAACTGAGCACTGGTAGAGCCATAGAACACCTTTGGAGCAGATCCTCTTCTCGATTGCAATGGCCTTTGATCGCACCTGCTGACAAAGCAAAAACAATCAAATATTTTTACATTCATCCAATCAATAAGTAAATATAGCAATATTTAAACAAGTGTCGGAGATAAATGTCGACAGACAATAAATTACAACACTCGTTCATCTGATATTTCATATCTCTAAATAGAAAATCAATTTAAAATTTTTGTCAAAGGATTATTGTATCAAACACCAAAATCTTAGAGCAGTAAATCATTTATTAAAAATGTTTTACATTAATAATTCTCTAAAATCTAATTTAGGGAGAAGTTTTAATCTTTCAGAGTTTTTGACCCTTCTAAAGTGGCTGAGTTCAAGTGAACTAACATCTCTATAAGAATATTTCAGTGTTGCTTGTATTTAGTTATTTAGTTAGATGAAAAGTTTAAATTAACTTTCCTTAAAGTCTCTTTGAAGACTAGAAACTTATAATTCGGTGTCTACAACTGGATTCCTAATGGGGTAGATATCTTTTAAAGGGACCCAAGGTGGCGAACAATTACAGAACCCAGAACTTGACAAAGAATTATGTAATTAACCAATTAACTAACCGGTTAATTAAGGAAATTCTATTGTTATGGGAAAATATTCATCATCATCATCAACAGGCTATAAATGCCCACTGCTGAGCATAACCTCATCTCACACGGAGAAGGTTTGAGCATTAATCACCACGCTTGCTCAATGCGGGTTGCTGATTTGAAACTCATAATTGGAAATTATAAGCCCAGGTTTCCTCACGATGTTTTTCCTTCACCGTTTGTCAGTGGTGTCTGAATAATTTTAGAAAGTACTCATAATAGAAAATATTCATAATTAATGTCATATTCCTTTAAGAATCCACTGGTTTTGTGTTACATTTAATTAATGCTTCGAACGAGAATGAAGACTATGAGAATGAAGACTATAGATGGCGCCCTCAACGGATTTGGACGAAACGTATGCAAAAAATGTAAAAGAGCAGCCTTAAATTCAATTAATGGATTAGTGTTTCTAGTAGAGTAAATAACTATATTAAAATCAAAGCATTTGGTGTATGATTGTCTATACTTCCTCGATACCTATAAGTCGTATACATGTATTGGCGTATATAAAAAAATTAGGTCATAACTAAATCTTAAGCGTAACTCCATTTTTGTTTTCAGGGAACCAAGAATATAAATTACGCATTATAATATGACCTTATCACGTAAAATGTTCCGCTTATATCGAGTAAACATTTAATGAATTTACATAGTTTAACAAACTACTGCTCTGACGTCTGACTTTGCACTTCTGACATCCATTCATGTACACAACATAATTAATTGGCTTAATAAACCAATGAATAACTTAATTTCGTTTTACATTAATAATGCAAATTAATAAAAGTATACATTGTTATTTCGTTTCGTTAAAATTCCCTGAAAGTTGAAGCAAGTCTGTAGTCATAATGGTATGACTATGGATCTGGATCCGAATATGGATTCGGAACTTGCAAAATCTAAATGCTATACCCGACCAATAACCAAATCTAAAACCAAATCTTGTGGTTTACATTGCTTGGATCTCCACTAACGAAATAACATTAACAGTCAACATTGATATAGTCAGTAAAATATTCCAAATTGAATTATTTGTGCAGAAACTATCTCCAACATTCACTTTTAGAAGATGAATTGAAATTTAATTTAAGCATTCTATTCTTGAACAGCTGTTCAGTATTACTTTGTCGAACTACTGATAAATGATAGCCCACCTATTGGAAACCAGTGATGAACGATGGTTCTATTACACAGTGAGAGACGGCTGCTGAATACTAAAACGAATGGCCAAATCGTCTTCAAAATCTCATCTATCTTCGTCGAACGTTGCTTCCATGATTTTGTATAAAACGTCAAAATCGACTACATTTCTATTTTTGATTGCCTGTTCAATAAATACATATTTTGGTTCTCCAATTTTATTTGCAATACATATTAGTAAAACAATGAATACGTTTCGATAAGGCGGAAGAAGCTAATTATAACGAAGGCACATTTTGGCAGACCTCGCAGCACATATTTTTGGCTAGTTCTCTATAAAAATGACTAGTGTGTTAGCTTCATACGTTTTTTTTTTTGTTTACAAGTTTGTTTTATTTTTCATTGCTAGCGTGTTTACCCTATTCATCTGTCTTGTTGCGTTAGAAAGTGTTGTTATCTAGTACTATTTGTGCGCATGCCCGCGTCACCCACGCCCGATCGTGTTTCACGTGGCGTCCACGCAATCAGCTGTTTACTCATATGTGATTGGATCGGAAAATTTTAAAGAACTCACACTTTGCGTGCGTTGTCCCTTACTCTAGGTCATTTCCATGACTCGTTCAATAGATAATGTCGGTCACAGTGATATTATTGTTTTGATGCAGTTTCTGTAGTAGATTTCGGATTGTCTCTCCTGTGAAACGGTTAATTGTTTATTGGTTTGGGGGTAAAAAATTGGGATATGAGTCCTTTCACAAATTGGCAATGGCCTCGAACGTCATTTGACATCGTGTGTATCCTGTCAAACAGGTAGTTATTTTTAACAGTGCCGTTCTTAGCACTATGCATTCCAATGGTGTAGTGGGGAGCCGAGCCCACCACGCCGCTCTCTGTCATTGGCTGGCTCATATCGTACGATGTTTTTGCATGTGTGCGTGTCGTGTACACATTATACCATACGCTCTCACTCAATCGAAGTATAATCGTTGAGCAATTTAAGAAGTATAGTATAACACAGCAGCCTGATTGAATTGCTCCGATGCCATAGGAAGTCATTGTTGCCTTGACATGATGACGTAGTCGCTCTATTTGTTTTGATTCATCATTAACCTCATATTATGAAGTAGTCAGCGCTTGTTGTGTTTTTATTTCGCTTACTCAGATATCATTGTTGCATGTAGGTATTTCACATGAACGTATGAGTTCTGTTATCTCACTACCTGTGTGATATTCACGGTAGCTGTTATACGCGTTACATTTTCATAAAGTTGACGAGGGACGGATACGATCTTATGGTTCTCATTTTAGTATCAACGTCGTGCACTTTGCTGACTTCTAGAACTTTCCCAACAGCTAATGGCACTTACTTATCGATAATTTCGGTCGGTCCTTTGATTAACAGTTACTTAATTCAACCAGTTACCTCTTTTATGACACTGTAAAATAAATGATGAGTATTTATTTTTACAAACGTCACGGCTAATTCCAGATTGGACAAAATACTGTCATAAGGATAAATTAGACACGACGAGGTACATATTTGTAAAAACAAGGACTCCTTTTAAAGCCACGGATGACTTCACTGTAGAAATATTTAACGGTAGGTACCAATAAAGCTCCTTATAATTTTACATCGAGATTAGAACCAGTATTGCACCGGCGACAGAGAGATAAGTTTACGGGTTATTAGTCTAGAAAATTCTGCAGTTTTAATTTAGAATGTGGTTGGCTTACTCCGCAGCAGAATGGATCACATTAGTTTCAAGCTTAGAAAAAAATTAAAAATACCATTCGAAGTAAATTGCAGTCCCTTTGGATGAATTATTTCCAGCACAACGTCGCTAAAAGTTGTTTCAAAGAAATTAAAAATTAATACCATTTTAGAAGCTAAATTAAAGTTGGAATCCGTAATGGAAAACCTTGGTAATGTGATAATTGTATTGTAAAGGCAATTTTACTAACAAGACATTGAGCATTTCAGCGTTATTTATATTAACTAAGAAGAATGCTTACAATAAACTTTATAATGATATTTCGGAACATTAATGTTTAGATGAAAACTTATTTAGAAGTCTGAATTGCCTGAGAACGGAGTCGATTTACTTGGGTAATAATGAAAATTGGCCATCTTATCTGTCTTAGATCGTTTTTACTGAAGAAAGACATTAGTGTCTACGTTTATTACACGAAACTTTATATCTAGTGGAGTGATAATGACATTGATAACGAATGTAAATATATAGGTTTAGTCTACAGTAGGTTAGGCGTATAAAACTTGTTGTACATTAATGTTTGTCTTATACTATGAAGAAGGTGGATTCCGGGTATGATAAATAGTCGATAGATAAGAATGATGTATGAAGAATATAACATCACGCCATTTATCCTCGAAGGCGTAGGCGTACGGTAGAGGTGCACATTACGGCACTTATAATGCCACTGTACCATGTAACTTTTCACTATTTTATGTTATGAGTGCCATGTAATAGGGGGTGAGCCTATTGCCATATACCGGGCACAATTCCAGATCCCGTGCTACCACTAAGATTTTGTTAAAAACCCAGTAATAATTTGCCCGGCTGTCGCATTTACGACCACTCAACGAACGACACAGGCATATATAAAGAACTTCCGCACGGTTTCACACGCTCTGCTCAGTTCCTATTGGTTGTAGCGTGATGTTTTATAGCCTATAGCCATCCTCGATAAGTGCGCTATCCAACACAAAAAGAATTATTCAAATCAGACTTGCAGTTACGGAGATTAGTGCGTTCAAACAAAAAACAAACTCTTCCGCTTTATATAATAGTAGTATATAAGATTAACACGAAAAGTATGAAAAATGCATAGTTAGAAAAGGGTTATACAAATATTTAGGATTATCTTACTAATATTATAAATGCGAAAGTTAATGTGTTTGTGTGTGTGTGTGTGTGTTTGTTTGTTACTCAATGACTTCAAAATGGCTGAAGGGATCGGGATGAAATTTGAAACAGGGATAGATTATGGTCTGGAATAACACATAGGTTACTTTGTATCCCACTGGTATGCGAGAGAAGCCGAAGAGAAGATGCTAGTATTATAATATGACTGGTAAAGTCTAGTATCAGAGGCCAATACCACTGAGTCGCTGAGTCAATGAAATAAGTATCTAACATCGGAATACTGAAACGCTACTCAATTTTAAGTCGTGCTTAAGTATAGTTCTATCTCTACAAACTTTTTGTAAAATGACAGAGATGGCACGATATTTGAGTTTTGACTTAAAACTGATTATCG